CTCAACTGTGTACTCACTTCCAGTGTTAAACAGTGTGGCCTTGGTGAAAGTATTAACTCTGGGTGAAAAAGACATACCTTCCTTCATCAGATTACCCTTACATGGGGGAGTTAAACATGACATAAAAACAAAGGATATCTTTAAAAGCTTATCAATAAACATCAATCACTAGTATGTGAAAACAAGTAAAGTAACACCATAAGGAAGGGAACAACTACCAATGCCATTTCTTTATACAGTTCTCTCTTCTCAAAGCTTTCAGGAGCATAATCCTATTGACTAGCCTGGTTAGGAATATGAAATGGGGNCAATCACTAGTATGTGAAAACAAGTAAAGTAACACCATAAGGAAGGGAACGACTACCAATGCCATTTCCTTATACAGTTCTCTCTTCTCAAAGCTTTCATAATCCTATTGACTAGCCTGGTTAGGAATATGAAATGGGGATTAGCTTTCCAGGCACACCAGAATTCTTTCTCTTTTCAATTTATTGAATTTACAAAATATGATTATTTTGCTTTAGTTCCAAAAGGCTCTATTTATGAATACTCATTATTTCTCAAAATTTCAACAGTCTGTCTCACACATGAAATTTCAAGTAATAAGTAAGTATATTAAAGGAGCATGTAAAACATCTAATTGGGTATTTTATTCTACAGCTTCTTGAAAATTTTTAAACATCAGTTCTCAAGTTAAGTCATTTTTCTACCATGCTAAATTCCAGCAACCAGAGGCTGGGGAAACTCTCCAGTAACAAAACAAAGGGGACAAAAGTATGACTTTCTAAAATCCTCCACAGGCACTGAGTCACTGATCCTTCCCCAAACAGGGATATTCTCCCCTCAAAGGAAAGAGAAGGCTGCAAGATAAGGGGTCCACCCAAAGTTTTTCACAAGTGAGCCAAGACTGGAACAGAAAGCTCTAGTCAGGTCTGTCCTTTGTCTAAAAGACATCTATAATCAGAGTTCACTGCTAAGGTCTCCAATAAACACCAGTCACACAGCGAGGCCAAAAACTCACTTTTTTGAACCAGGTTTTAAATGTTTAAAAAATAAGTATAAACATTTTGTTTTGCTTTTTAAAGAAAACCATAGAACCATTCTAATTAGCAAAGCAGTTGAAGAACATGGGAATGTTTCAAATGGCAACACAAATATTTTTTAAGAAAATGGAGAGTCAACCCAATAATCATGAAGTCATATTATAAGTGTGTTAATATCACAAACATTCCAGTACCAAAAAAACTGTAAGATATTTACAAAGTTAAAATTTAACATCTGGAACCTACACATTTATTATACATGTGAATAAGTTAAGAGGCATTAAAGTTAAGTACATGCCATTTTCAGACCATGTACTCAGAAATGACAGGTCACCTGGGAGCCTGAACAGTGCCTAGGCATGTTTCACAGTGTAAAATGCTCCATGGGTCAATTTAAAGGCATAGAGCTCAAGCTCATCTATGCAAGGTGAGGTCCATGCAGAACCAATCATTTTGTATGCTAAGGTCTACTTCACAGAACCCAAGTCAGAGACAATGATGGCCTTACACATGTTCTTATACACAGGGCAGCCAGTTTTGTTTACCTAAAATTGGGCACATACAATTTAAACTAGAGTAGCAAATTTTTTTTAATAGGGGTGCATAAATAGGCATTAGGAAATCCAACCGAATCCTCTTAGATTATATGCAAAACTGTATTACATGTATATTTTTCTGGGGAGTAAGTCCACAGGTTTAATTAAATTCTCATAGAAAAGCTTAAAAAAATTAAGAATCATGGCACTGAGGTCAATCACCACACTTTACAAGGAGGCGGAATCTAAAAACAACTGAAACTGCCAGAAAATTACCCACCTTCAATTTTAGTCAGAATCCTCCCCACTTACATATATATGTAAATTATAATACATATACACATTTTTTTTTTTTTTTTTTTTTTTTTATAAATCATGGATACAAACACAATCTGACAGTTCAAAAGCATGTATTCTGGTTTGGGCTTTGTCACCTCCTCACACAATTGCACGTACACAACTTGCCAATCTGTAGAAAGTGAAATAACAACACTGCAACAGAAATTGCAAATCTGTGAGAAGTGCCACTATAAACGGGAAGAAAAAATGCACAAGGTGAAACTACCTGATCAGTTTTTGCCAATAAGTCAATGTACTAAATAACAAGTTATTATTTGAAGAGCTAAGGCAGAAGTTAAGATCTCAGAAAGCCTTGCTCCTTGAGTGTTCACTGAAAAGATGTGCGTGCATGGGCACCTTCAGGCAATTTAAGGAAACTGAGAGTCAAGGGGAATCAAAATGGAATCTGAACTCAATTTTACATTTCTATTCTATACTGTATATATGTGTCCTTCATTCATACCAGAACCTGTGTCTCTGACAATCTAAGCGTCTAAAATAGGCCAAAGTACTAAACAACTGTGAAAGCTCTGGGATTCATAATATTTATAATGGGTAATTATAAGTAGCAATATCTTGTATAAGAGCCCTTGGCTTTCACATATATTATTTCCTTCTGATCTACTTATACTAATTTTTCTCCTAGTTCAAATCAATTGAATCTACTCTTGCATCTTATTTTCAGGGGCAAGATTTATCATGGGATAAGAGTGTTTACCATATTCCCTGTAAGTCCCCTCTTGCTAGTGTTAGGCATATTTCCTGTCTTTCCTGTCCAGTATTCATTTACTTCTCCATTCATTAAATATTTATTGTGGGCCTACCTACGAAAAGGAGGTAGGAACTCCATCAGTAACTCTCAGGGACCTTAACCTTAAGAAGCCCGACAGTTGTGTTCATTAACTCTTACTAGGTTGTATTGCCAAGTTTTGCTCCTCTGGCGGCAGTGTCACTGATTAGAAGAGAGAGGACATAAAGTTTGCTTAACTTCTCACTTATGGCACCAATCCATGCACTGGGAAAAACAGATACATCCATGGGGTTTGGGGGCACAGCCCTGCAAAGAGCATCCACCCCATCCGCCAATCTAGCCACAGCGGAGGCCGGTGGGCGGGGCTTGTGGAAGCGGAGGGAAGGAAGGGAACGGTGGGAGGAGACCTGGGAGTGCGGAGATGAGCCTGCAGCTAGAAGTGACAGAAACGGGGAACCCAAGCCACTGCCGACCGGGGAATATACCCCCTTTCCTTCCTCCTCAAGGGTCACGGGGGGGCGGGGCGGAGGTACCTAGTTTCTGCCCCAGGTAGGTGAGGCTGTGATAGACCTTCTCGGCCGCGGCCAGGTGGGCCAAGGCCGCCAGCAGCGACAGCCAGCTGCCCCCCGCGCTCTTGTTGGCCTCTCGTTCCTTCTCCACATTGTCCTTGGCCTTGTCGTAAGAGAAGATACCCAGGTGAGAGAAGAACGTCTCCAGCACAGCCTGTTCCACCGGCACCGGGGCGGCCAGCGGGATAGACTCCCCCATGCGAGCTGCGCTCCAGCTCCACCCACGTGGCTCGGCTCTCCCTCGCACTTCCGGGTTCTCAGGGAACGTGCGTACAAGCCGGCGTGCGCGCG